CTCTACCACGCCGTACACCACCTGTTTAAAAAAATAAGTGAACAGCAGGCAACAACAACATTAATTTAAAAGCTTCGAAAGTCATTTGCTACTATATACAAGGCACTTAATAGGATCTTTCATTTCTTCATCGATGATGATAGAGAATTAAGCTTTTGTTTAGTTCTTCATTTAACTATCACAGTATAAACGGTTATTACTATATATACGTTTTTGGACACTGTAGCAATCACATTCACATAAACTATTAAAAGGCTCATAAAATAACAACAAAGCACGACGAGAGCAACAGAACACGACGCAAACCACCCGCAAGAAAGGAAGAGAGAAAATATCTAATCACAACCCTGAAGGTTTCGCGACCGTAGAGTCAGCGTTACGCACCAACTCAGTCTGAGCCATAGCACCAGTTTCGTCTTGAGAGAACGCATAACCGTCTGCAAAATTCAAGATGTGTGGATCGACGGCAGATTTGCTGCGCTACAGAACCGACTGATCTAACAGTCAAGAGCGGAACACTCTTTGAATACTAACAGGTTATAATGAACTCAGCTACAACTGTGGGACGGGTCATAAAGAGCCTATGTTCAACAGGACATTCAGTACCGGCACAGTAACCCTGTCCGAGGATACTGTTGATTGCGCTGGCACCAAGGGAACACTCAGACAGAAAGAAATGAAAGATATAAAATGGAGGCTATTTGTTCCTGCAGCCCTCTAACATAAACATGTCCTCTATGTGAATGATGCTTCACTCTCAGCAACAATTACCGATCAGCTTCAACAAAAGGAAGCGATTACGATAAAGAGAAAGCGCATCGGGGAAGCATGTGCACCACACGAATCAGTTACTTGGCTGCCAGGGAAGCGAGATGTGGCGCTTTCACAACGAAAGGTGCTGGTTGCTGAGCAGGACTTCGAAAGCGCTCCGCCCCAAAAGCGATCCGCCCACTAGTTTACTTGGTGATTTGGACGAGCTGCGTGGCCAGCAGCGGCGCAAATGGAGCATCTCGATTGAAGCGTGGTTTGGCATGGTGCCATCAAACGCGTTGCGGTGAACTCGTTCATACGTCCGCTTTCTGAGCTGTTACCTGTTCATGAGTGAAAACCAACGGCCAAAAAAGGGGTCCCGTTTTGCGTTTTCTTGACGGATTTTTCTGCTTTTTTCGCTACTGGCGTACCATTGAGCACCACCACGTCACACTAAACCCTTCTTGAATTTATCGTAATCGCTGCCTTAATTATGCCGAGTATGACCTTCAAGGTGTGGTTAACTAGGACGAAGAGCAACTTTTCCGCATTCCGCAGCGCAAAACTTTTCGCTGCGATTACGCCAGATCCCTTCCCAATCAAGAGTAGATCTGGAGTCTTGCAGCGAAAAAAGCTTCGCGCTGCAAAAAGGAGGAGGAAATCTTTTCAGTCATCGCGAACCACACCTTGACCACAGCGTACTGCTAAAAACCTAGAAATAAATAGTGACTCTTGCTCGGCACCTATACCTACCATTCACCTAATATTAACTGGACAATCACCAATACAGTCCAATTACCTCTATCTGGAAATTGTCTTCGAATTCCGAGCAGACAGTCACAACCAAAGCATTCAACACATTAAGCGACTGTCGACTATGACTCCGGGTGTTTCGAGCGCGAAAACTTTTCGCTGCGTCGATTAAAGCCATATCCCTTCCCAATCAGAGTAGATCTGGAGAAGTGTTGCAAGGAAAAAAGCTTCGCGCCATGCAAAAAGGGGAGGGGAAAATTTGTTCGTACATCACGAAGCCACACCATTTGACCACAGCGTTAACTGCTAAAAACAGAAAAAAAATAGTGACTTCTTGCTCAGGCATCTATTTACCATACCATTCAACCTATAGTTAACTGGAGCCAATCACCAAGTATAGGAAGCATTGTGCAAGGAACTGGGGAATGGAAGAAAAAAGATGTTCTGGCTCGCAGAGAAATATAAATCTCTAAGGCAGAACTACACCACTTCGACATTTACAACTGAATCCCACTGAAGCTGTCGAAACCCTCAAAACAATTTGAACAACCGTTCACTTACATCTGGCCTGTTCCGCGAGTGACAAAGACGAATCACTAAGCCGTCGCTCAGAACGAAGAGAATCACGAAGAAGTCGAACATTCTCCAATACCGTTGAAAGAGTAACTGCAACACAGAAAGAATCAAAATTTCATAGCTGTTATAGCAGCGATGAATCCACCAAATATTAGCCTAGCACCCTTTCGACTGCGAAACCGGCCCCAGGATTGAAAGCTTTTTTCGTAACCCAATTAGTGAAGAACGGTAATTCATTTTGTGGATACATAGTAGTTGATGGATTTTTCACTCGAAGAGCATTTTTGGTCAACTGTAAACGAATAGGCATATACTGATTAGTAAAGTTGTTCGAAGGAAAAAAAAAAACTTCCCTAATCCGAAATCAGTGAAAAGCGGTTGGGTTTGAAAGATAAATAAAGGTATTGAACTATAGGTAATCCCCTCAATCCGAATGGAACGGACTTTAGGCCTCTGCAGGCAGGTGTGCATAAATTTTATTCAAAAACAGCAGAGCCACACTCCAATTCCTCGCTCCGTAGGATAACACTTGAAGCAAGCAATCCTTCCGTTAATGCGTGGTCAAAAAAGACTCATCGGCAAGGAGAAAGGAACAAAGAGTTGATCTGTCGTTCAGCACATGGCCTACGAAGTGGGACGCGTCTGTGCGCACGGTGTCGACAGCTTCTTAGAATTTGCTTCGAAAGAACCCATTAATCTGTAACACGCTTCTAAATACCAAACAAATCGAAATCAGCTCTGAGACAGCTGTGAGCCATACATAGTAAATTAGATTGTGGGTGTAGGCTTGAAGATACAGGATGCGCAGCTTGTGAGGTGGTGCTGGGGAAATTACACATATCTGATTCAATTGACAAACAAGCGCTACGGCAGATTGAACTAAAGATCTCTTGATCCACGCCCAAATCGACCCCTTTTATTCTATTCAATTGTCACGAATTTTCGTTGTTCCTGAGATCCACAAGATGTTTTTGAACCACGCTTGAGGATGACGCGCGTATAATCACGCTTGACATCATTTATCACACAGCAACAAAGAAAACATGCCTTCAAACATGCAGTACGCCATTGATAATCCAGCTGTTGAACCTACCTCAAAGGAGGATTCCACGATAAAGACGGAGGTATAAGAAGGGAAATACACTAAGTTAAAAAGTAGGCCGGACCCCGAGAGTTCAGGATGATGCGCACTCGCAGCAAACGGTATGCCCTCAGCGGCTTGGCAGGGCCACACCCGCGCCACTCGCGTCGCGGCACGTTCCCCTCACCTTTCGCCTCCAACTCTAGCCCTTAAGCAGAGAGCGCTAGCGTTGAAGACGGCACCACCGATGAGGGTCGCATCAATGCGGAAATCAACGGGCTGAGGGGGTCCTATTTGTTTCTCGTGATTTTTTCTTCATCCTTGC